CAGGAATGCAATGCGTTGTTAATTGAAAACCGTCCTGAATGCTGTGCACGCTGCTTGGTGCAGTGGCTGTATGAGGACATCTTGCTGAGCATGGATTAAGCCGTACAAAGAAATCCAGGAAGAAAAGAAGCAGAAGGTCAGTGCTAGTGAATTTGCATGATGGCCTCTTTAAGTCCTCAAGGTGTTGAGAGAGCACAAGATAATGAAGCATACAAAACACATCCCAAGCCAACTGGGAACCCATTATATTTACTTGGGAGCTGTTTTCCTATTCTCCAGCATCATCCACTTCTTTGAGCCATTAAGGGCTCTTTCTGTGTGTTGTTCTAAACAAGGACGTTTGAAGTAGCAGTTCTTCAGACAGCAGCGGGTTGTACTGTGCACAGCAAAATGCTGACATGCTATAAGGGGCTGCAGGCTGTCTGTGTTGTCAGGGGCCGCAGAGGCAGTGGTTGGACTAGCTGGTGTCTGGGGGTACTACTGGGAGCTACTCACTTGGCAGTGGGGCTCCAGCCGGTTGACATATGGCAGGACAATAGAAGGGTTCAGTGGCTCTTGAGCTGCACATTACCAGGTCTGTCTGGGAAATGCAGACCCCATGTCCGGGCTTGGGAGGGAAAGCAGAAGTGGGGCACTGTGTGTTTTAACCCTGGGGCAGGGATGCGTGTGCCGAGAGGCTGAGCACCAGCCTTGATGACACGGCACTGGCATCAACATCAGTAATGTGGACAAGTCTGTGCTCTCAGGCTCCCACTGCCAGCTCCACCTGAGCCCAGTCTCGATGACAGCCAGGCTGGTGACGCCAGGGCTTGCTTTTTCTCATTAAAGTTTTTCCGGTCTCACAGATGGTTCCAAACAACAGCAATCTGAGCTGCGCTGCCTGGCTGTCTCCAAAGCTGCTGCAATCGCAGCTGGGGACTAATCTCTTCCTGTGGTTCCTTCGTGCACCTGAGAGCTCTTTGGTGCGGAGCAGAGCCTGGTTTGCGGGGCTGCAGCGGTGTTAGAGGAGACTGCAGGTGAGAGTGCCGGAAGGGTGTGCCTCCCCTTTAGGGCTGCATTACAGTCTCGTTACAAGTCAGGCAGCCATGGCTGAGTGCCCCGTGCAGTTGTTTGTGGTCATTTGTATTCTACCCCGTGGGTAGTTTTAGACACACAGAGGAACCCCCAGCTCTAAGACAGGGATAGCAGTTCTTCCTCTCTCCTCCCCCTTAGCCTTGTCTATGGACCAGATCAACAAAACAGGAGCTTGGTACCTCAAAACAGGAGCTTGGCACTAGGTTCTTTCAGGCAGGGATATATTGATATACAGCCCCCAGTACCTAGACACCAAAGGAATAGTACGAATCATGCTGGGAGGCAGATAGCTTCACTGTCCAACTGGCCCCAGATGGGCAGGCTACTTGGGGCTGTGGGACCTAGCTAGGTTTGATTTTCCCCTTGTGTCATTCCCAGCACCAACCCTTTTTGGGTCCTCTAGCCCTGCCAAGCTAGTATCTGGTACTGAACTCCCCCGGCTGGGCTGTACAGACATGGCAGGAGCCCAAGGGTGGCATCGGGGTGTGCACTCGGGCCGTCTGCTCTCCCTGGGTGCATGCAAATTGGGAGCAAGGGGCAGGAGTTCAGTCTAGGTGGCAGTCCTGGGTGTGACAGGGTGGTGGTGTGGATGTGCCCAGATGTGCTGGCCCTGCTAGAGTCATGTCTTTGCCTCATTTAAAAAACATCTCCATTTAGCAATGACAATTAGAGGGTGAGAAGCAGCTGAGAGGAACCGTGGGGCAATAAAAATTGTTTAGTGGTGCAACGGCACCGTCATTTTCTGGAGCAGCTTGCCAGCGCTAACTAATTAACACTCCCAATGTCTCCTCCAACAGCCACCTGCCCTTAAAATGATGGAACGTCAGCCCCTGCAGCAGAACGCAAACCCATCCCTGAGCCAGGCCTGGGCTCTGAAACTCACTGGCAATAAGCTAAGAAGAGCTTCCACCCTCCAAGGTAAATGCCAAGCCCAGGTCTTTGCCCAGTGTGCCATCACATCCATTCTGCTGCACCCAGGTTCTGGTCAGCAAAGGAGGTGCTGAAAGGCATGCCGGTACTAGCACGGTTGCGGTATCGTAGCCCTGATGGTCCAGGAAATGTAGGAGAGGCGAGGGTTTTCTGGAGATATCCTCCTGGGCCAGCTGTAGAGTTAGGAAAGATGCTGGACCAGCTTTCAGGACCTGAGGAAAGGTCCTTTTGTGTCTAACTTCTCTCCCAACTCTACAGTTGGTCCAGTAAAAAATATCAAATAAAACTCAAATACTGGAGCAGCAGGCTCCAAAGTAGCAGCCTGGTGGGTGTGGGATGACTGGCTTTCAGCCAGAGTTGATGCCCTTTATTGAGAGATAAATGCAATAGGTTAGTGCTATGGCTGTCTCCAGTCTTAACATCTACTTGTTGGAGGTGGGTAGACAGAGGTATGGAGCTGCAAAGTGACGTTGGCCTAGCCATGGAGTGAGTCACTGGCAGAACTGGGATTAAGACTCTCCAGTTTCTGGCTGTGGTCACATGCCCTGATTGGGTTTTTTTCTCTGGTATGTCAATGATAATCCATGCAACGGCAGCACAGCCCTCTCCATTTCCAAGCCTCCCCCACCTAGACAACAGGCCATGGCTTTGAGCTGCAGCCCCAGACTGGCAGAGTGGCCATCTCTCTCCCACACGTTGTTTTTCTTATTTCTAATGACCTTGTTCAGGGTCCTTGGGCCCAGAGTTGATGCTCCCTCTTATGTGACAGCACATCATGGAGTACTTTGATATAACCATAGCAACAGGCAGCTAATTAATGGACGATCCTCAACACCATGGAAACAACTGAAGCAAGCCAAACAAGCAAGCAGACGAGGTGCATGGCTCTGGGGATCAGGGAGGGCTGTCTTGTCCTGCGCCCTTGGGTCCAATGCGGAGCAGAGGGGCAGTACCTGGACTCTCGTGGCTGCTGGCTGCCATGGCACTGGAGAGGGGAGACGGATCCTAGATGGGTGCTTAGCAGAGAAGTCCTCTCCATCTTCCTTGGACCTCGTGAGAGTGTTGTAACAAAACTCCTTCCTGGCTTTTGGCCCTGTACTTTACCTGGGGAAGGTTTAAGGGAGCATCTGGCACCATGCCTCATAGTTGCATGTGAGGGTTTGTTCCCAACGTGTTTAAGAACAGGTTAGACGCGTGCTTGGCTGGAATAATTTAGACTGAGCGGGGGTTGGGGGTGAGGGGGACTAGACATGACCTCCGTGGGGCCCTGCCAGCTGATTCCTTCATGATTCTGAGTGTTGGCCCCTGGAGGATGAGGCCAGAGACCACGTGGATTGTGCAGGGTCAGCTGCCCCTCGGGCAGTCTGTCCGAGTTGGTTTCCACTGGTGTAAATGACTCCATGCAGTACTGGATGCCCTGGGGTCCAGGTCTGTGTGATGCCATCAGAAAGGTTTCTTCCCTTGCTCCCTCTTTTCATGCTCCTGTCAAAGTCCAAGCCTGTGGCTCTCTCCTTTCCCAGCTGGTAGGAGCTTATCAACCAGTGCTTTCAGGGCCTGCAGCGGCAGCCTCTTTAGCCCTGTCCTCTCCACCCTCCCTTGCTGTACGTTTGTACAGCATGCCCTAAAGTCTCTAGATCTGCCCTGCACCTTAGTTCTCCTACCATAAAGAGGGATCATGTCAGTGCCCTGCCATTCAGGGGTAGCACAAGCACCTTATTAGTGAATGACTGTGAGGCACTCAGGTACTGGGCTGAAGAGCACTGTGCACCTGCTGGGAGAGGCTGATCCCTCTAGAGCTGTGCAGTATCTCTGTCTAGGCTTGCAAAGTATTTCAGGATGATTAAATCTGTATACACACAGGGCCATAGGTAACATAAGTAACACCAAGAGATTTCTGCATCTGGGCAGAGATGAATGCCTGTTTATTTTATGTGGAGTCTCTCACACAGCTGGTAACCAAAGCACTTTGCAAAGTGAAATAGGCTGAGACTGGAGGTAATAAGTGGTGCCTGTTTAAAAAAAAAAAAGAAAAGAGAGAGTGAGAGAGAATAACCTGATTGTCTGGAGATTTGTTACGTGAAGGCAATTCATCATTTGATCATGAACACAGGGAATGCAAATGCAATGGTGACACAAATGATCCCCCCGCGCTAACCTTGCCTGCCTCAGTGAGCCTGTGGATTCTGCACTGTGCAGTGCCTACTTCTCGCACCAATAGACAGAAATGGGGAAGGAAGCCGTTGTATCCTGCTGGGGTAGGGAGCTGAATGAGGCAGGTACTGTACAGCTCTGTCTCCTTCCTGTATGGCTTAGCAGTAATAAGGAAAGTTGTCTCCTGGGCAGATCCTGCCTCTCAGTTAAGGCACTGGGACTCCTGCGGATACTGCACACACGCATCTCATTGGGTGCATCCACACACGCGCTTTACTGTTGAGTTGTCTAATTTGCTCTGCAGTAAAGCGTCACCATCTACACCTGCACCCATATTGGGGTGCAGTACATTAATTAACTCCACTTGTCTGAGACAAGTCCAATCCTGCGGCAGAGTCATTAAGTGTCCCGAAATGCATGTGTAGACAGTGACTGGGGCTGACTTGGGCATGAGGGTGCCTCAGTATGGGGGCTGCCTGCCAGCCAACCCCTCGCAGTAGCACCCTCATGCCCCAGCCAGCCCCTCCGCCACCTGATGCCCCCACCCAGGGTCTGGGGCTGACCCCCCTGCCAGCCCAAGGCTGCTTTCCTCCAGCTCAATGCGCTGTGGTCCCAGGCACATGTGTAAACACTGTGCTCAGGACAAATAAACTCCGGCATGAACTGCACCAGAGTTTACTACTCTGCACTAATTGCACGTGGAGATGCATGCATTATGGAATGAAATTTTCTAAGAAAAGAGAGATGCACGCATAAGGCTGGTTACAATTTAAACTGGATGGACATAGTGCTTGGATACGATGGATAATATTTCCTAGACAGCAGGTTGGACAGGGGCCTGCCATGAGTCAGAGAATCTGTTGTCTTGTCTGAGAGTGGAGACCCTTTCAGAGTGTGGAAGTCATTCACCAGCACCTGGAAACACATCACTAGCAATAAGTGACCCAGTGCCCCAAATTCCTGTCTAAAAAGAGTAATGGCACAGATGCACCGGGAAGCAACCTGAGTGGAAGGTTCTGTACAGAAACTGGCTCTCTAGCTTAATTTATCAGGAATTTGGACAACTGCCAAGAACATGCCCTATGCTCTACATGGAAAAGGAATGTACCGACACCACAGGAATAGAGGGGTTGCAATGAGGATGGAGCCAGATGACAGAACAAGGAGCAATGGGTTCACGTTGCAGCAAGGGAGGTTTAGATTGAATGTTAGGAAAAACTTTCTTACTAGGGGGGTGGTGAAGCATGGGAATGGGTTACCTAGAGAAGTGGTGAAATCTCCATCCTTGGAGGTTGTTAAGGCCTGGCTAGACAATGCTTTGGCTGGGATGATTTAGTTGGGGAGGGTCCTGCTTTGAGCAGGGGTTTGGATGAGATGACCTCTTGAGGTCCCTTCCAACCCTCATTTTCTATGATTCTGTGAAAAATAGGGGTTATGGAAGAGTTAAAGAACTTTACTCCCAGAATCTATTACCTGCTGCCTCCATGAACCAGTAGCTGGTTTTATTTTCCATTTTGGGAAATGCACACAGAGGAGTTTTTAACCATTGCTCTGACTGATTGTAATAGCCTGTCTCGGAAGAATGAGGGTTTTGAAGCAACGGTTACAATAGTAGGACACGGGGGCTATATCTAAGCTGCATCTTCAACCATTCTCAAGCCGTAATAACCTTGTTCACTGCTTTTTGGTGCGTGATAGAAATCCCCATGAGCTCCAGGCAAAAAGGGGCTGTGGTCCTATTGAACTGAGGGCTCCAGCCTGGACACTCATTCCCTCCTAGCTTCAAAGGAGCTACTTCTGACTGACAGTTGCATAAAGAAATCAAGCCCCTTGCTGAATACAGTAGCAGAGAGAGGCAGCAGCCGGTAGAGGGGGCAAGAGG